TTCTTTTTGTCTCTCATCGCTTCTTTTTGTCTCTCATCGCTTCTTTTTGTCTCTCATCACTTCTTTTCGTTTCCCATCACTCCCATCACTCTTTTTCATCTCTTACCACTCCTCTTTGTCTCCCATCACTCCTTTTCGTCTCTCACCACTCCTTTTTGTCTCCCATCACTCCTTTACGTCTTCCACCACTCCTTTTTGTCTCCAATCACTCTCTTCGTCTCCAATCACTCCTTTCGTCTCTCATCACTCCTCTTTATCTTCTCATTACTTCTTTTTGTCTTTCATCACTCTTTTTCATCATCCATCATGTCCTATTTTTCCTTTTTGTTTCCTATCACTTCTCATTACTTTTTTTTACTCCCTTTCTTCTATTACTTTCCATTACTCCATTGTTATTTCATTTTTTATTAGCATCTTTCTTCTTGATCATTGTAATTTACTTATCTTTTTTATTTATTGTTATTGTTTTTTTATTTGTATCACTTCATTAAAAATAAATACAGTTATTTTTTCTTTAAAATCGAAAATGTGTGTCTTAAATTTTAATATTTGCTTCATTAAATAAGATTATTTTGAATAAATATATTTACAAAAATTTTTTCTATATGTTATAATTAAAAAAAGTATAAGAAAAATTTCAAATCAACTAAAAAAAAAATATATAATCTCGCAAAAATCTGTAAACTTCAATTTAACCAAAAAATAATAATTGTACAAAAAAATAACAAATGACATAAATATTAGTTGATTAAAAAAGTGAGATTAATACTAATTAGTATTAGCAAAACGCCAGTAATAGGGAACTAAAATTATTTTTTTTATACTTTAGTAATTAGCATTTGCTGATCAAATCATCTTAACTTTTAAGTATAGATCAGGCGCAGAAATGGGAGTTTTTTTATCATGAATTTGATAATCATTTTACAATCACATGAAAAATACTATTATCAATTATTCAAAATTTACAGAATTATAGGATATTAATTTTTACCTAAATAAGTATGTTTATTAAAATAAAAATAAAAATAATACCTTGAACGTACACTGCGTTCAAATGCACCCTATCACATGATTTATTGTATTTTAAATTTGATTGGCTGATCAGTGTTATCGTTTATTTATTCATCAAATAATCTTATTCATTATTTAATTTTTTTAAATGAAAAGGCTTTTTTAAAGTTTTTTTTTGAAACAGTTAATAAACTGATATAACTATATAAGTCTTATTGTTTTCTATTACCTTTTTCTGTTGTTAAAATTTATTAATTGTTTCCAGGAGTCCATTTCATCTCCAGGTGGTGTTCCTATAAAACCATCAAAAGAATGTTAGGAAACATTCTTAAACAAAATTAGTAAAAGAAAACAAAAAATCTTTTGTCTCCAAGAGTCTCTGGGAGGTATTCCTATAAAAAAAATTATTCAAAAAACGTTAGGAAACGTCCTTAAACAAAATTAGCAAAAGAAAATGAAAAACCTTTTGTCTCCAAGAGTCTCTGGGAGGTATTCCTATAAAAAAATTATTAAAAGAACATTAGAACATTCTTGAATGAAATTAACAAAAGAAATGAAAAGAAATTTACTTTTCGTCTCCAAAAGTCTCCAGGAGACATTTCTATAAAAAAAAATCATTGAAAGAATATTGGAAACATTCTTAAACGGAATTAACAAAAGAGACGAAAAAATAAAACTTATCTTTCATCTAGGGGATGTTCCTACAAAAAAAATTATTGAAAGAA